GAATGCAGAGCTCTAGGGGACCTAGGCAGACCATTGCACTGGGGCATAGAGGGCTTGTTTAAATGAGCAGCTTACCAGCAAGGCTTGTGATGGAGGCTCTGCTCCACCACCACCTGCCTGAGACAGAGGTAGAAGCACAAGGCTGATGCTGGTTGTGTAGGTGTACAGCAAACCCCTAGTTTATTTAATGAGCACTAACTGTTCTGAGTGGGATACTTGGAGAGTTCTACATTAAACAGGAAGCCATACAAAGTCCTGTGAAAAGGCTTCCTGGGTAATTAAGACCTCCCTAAAGAAAATCCTTTCCTTGACCAAGGGGAGAAGTTTCTCCACAATTCCAGTCCTTCTGCAAAGGTATTTGCTGCCATACTGAAAAGTAAGCTCTCTCTCTTCATCAACTGAATGGGCAACAGGAGAGAGGCAGAGGAAAGATTGGCCTGAGAACAAAACACTTTTCTCCTTTCCATACACAAACATATCTAAACTAGTGACCTTTTAGGGCACCTAGACTGGTCCTTGCTTAAAAGAACACATTCCATCATGGCAGTTCTGTCTTCTCTCCACCCAAAATCTTTTCTAATGTTTTTGAGCAGAAAATAGAAGGGGAGAAAAAAAATTCTGATTCAGGAATCTCTGGTTGCTGTTCTTGTTATCATCAGAGGCACACCAATGAACTGAACTCTTTTGGGTAAAGCTATTCCTCAAAGCTTCTGGGGGAAGCTTTAACCAACCAACCTCCAGAAGGACCACCAAGACTATCGTCTTTATCAATGAAGAAGGCTCTGTTGCTGGGTAAATCCTTTCCCGATGAAGCCTTTCTGTTTACGCAGCAGATTATTGAACATGCAACATGAAGAAATGAATGAACATGCACCTCTGAAAAATGGCTCAGCTGCATGAAACTTTCCTGCTGTATGCAGAAGTCATGAGCACAAGGGCTTTCTCCCTTGACAGGGTAAATTTACAGTCAGACTTAAATGGCTTCAAGCCATCAGAACTGGAAAATCCCTGCTTTCCACCCCTGCAAATTTTACCCTGGCAAATAAAGGTCACATCTATTCAAAACAACAGTAGGGATGAAAGCAAAGCCCACAGCTCACTAAAAGGAGTCCTTTTCTCTGCTTTGAGCTATAAACACACATTAGGATTTCAAAAATTTCACATTAAGTAAAGAAGGTAGATAACATACACGGCAACTCTATGTTCTGATGAGAATACACCAAAATACATTCTGTGTCTAGCTTAGAAGGCTGCAGCAGTAAAATATCCAACTTCAAACTAGCCAAGTCAACCATCAGTAGCAGCCTGGCTACCACAGCATGTAGCTGCACACTGGTTAATTCACTCTGTTGCTAACTTGTTATTTCTACATTATTTTTCAGACTGCAATACAGAAATATTCTCCAAGATGCAGAAATGAAGGATGTGACCATGAATCTCAGCAACGTGATTAGTTAACAGCAATAATACACACATGGACAGGGTGAAGCCTGAAAAATAAAAATTGAACACTTCTGTGATAAATCTGACATCTCTCTTAAAACATCATATGCATTCAAGATTGAAAGTTTTAATAATAATTGACAGGAAGACCAAGGAACAATACTCAAAATGACCCCCGTGTTGATCTTCACTGTAGTTAAAGCTTTTATTTCTATGACTCATTTTTTTTTCCAAATTACGTGAAATACCGGCATATGCTGGAAGCATTTAAAAAAAATACCTGCTTAGTTAATATTCTTCCGGTATTATGGAACACTCTAAAGTGACAAACTCTGAGATCAAGCCTTCTGTTTTTCTACAGCACAGGTGTAACCACTGCCCTGGTTTCACCAGGAGGATGCTCTGGGGACTGACTGTCCAAGCAGTCATACCCATGTGCGACACCCCCACCTCTGCATTACTCGGGGCCTGTGATCTTTCACCACCTTTGTCAACCCACTCCTTTTCATGTACCTTTTTGTCTACTTCCATTTTGAGAGGCACAAAAAGCGTCAGACCACCACATGACATACCTGCATTTTATGTCAGTTTTGCACATCAAATTAGCCTGTAGTTTGGAGATGATGATGCATATAACTCTGATAAAGATCAGGAAATTTACCTGGAGAAATAAAAGAAGGATTTCTATTGTCATCCAGAAGCGCATGTGTGTAAGTGTTCAAAAAAGCTGGTTTGTGTACGCATGTGTACGTGCCCGTGCCTCCTGCTACTCTGCGGCTGCAGAATTTGCCGCAGAATTCCACTCCTTGCTAAGGAATTGTGCTCTAACTACATCCTCTGTGAATGCACAAGTCACCCCTGAAAATGCAGACAGTTCACTAAAGGCAGGGGAGCTTGCCTACATCCCCGGGGAGTGAGACACAGTAAGGCGGGGGCTGCCCCATTTGCCTTTTCTGGGGGTCTGAGACTGCCACAGTATTGTGGCTGCAGCATGTGGCATTTCTGCAAAATACCCCACCGTCTGTAGCCCGGTACCTGGAATGTTATCTCCTGCCTCCCTGTACTACCTGCCACAGCCTTCCCCGCACCGGGGAGTTAATTGGATTGCTGTGGCATGCTCTTTTGTTATCGTGTGCTGCCACTACAACATGACAGCATGTGGCCAAATTAAATAAAACGCTCGTTGGGAATTCCAGTGACAGAAACCAATTTGGTTTCATAAAATCACATTTGCGAATTAAAATGTCAATACCCTGAAAGGTTATTACCCTTTGGACGGGCACAACAGCCATGCACGCATCTGCTCTTTGTACCGTATCATGTCCTCTTTCTTGTGGAAATCCGCCCGCTCGCTGCACGTGCCCCATACTCACCCCGATAGCGATGAGGATGGGCAGTCTGATGATCAGCCAGTAATTCATGTTATAGTTTCTGGTCCAGCAGCTAGGCAGATGGCAAAAAGAAGAATGCAAGAAGAAAAAGTTTCAGTCTGTTACTAAAGTCTCCTGCTTTTCATTCTGTGGTAGCCATGCAGATAGGAAACAATATTGAAGACTAGATACCAGGAAAGCACATCATGCCGACATGGAAACAGGTACAATTGCTTCTTGCAAACACTGAATGCTTTGTACTATTGCAGCTGTCATAATCCAACTGGATGCTACTCACCTGCCTTTCTTGCCCACTAATGGCTAGATGGCCTCCACAATTTGCTAGGAATGATCATCAGTTAATTGTGAAGATTTACTCCGTTAAAACCAAGGTCAAATTTGTCATGGGGATAAGAGGAGGAGAGAGGGAAAAATCTGTGAGTCAGACCTTTCCTGCACAGCTCCCATCCTACTATTTCTGCAGTTTTTTATTATTCTTCTGTCTCCAGCATCATCTTATTATTTAACTGTTTGTTAGTTCTTTATCACATTACCTACCATCACTTCTCTCCTATCAATACTTAGGTCACTCACCTATTTTATTTGCCCTTATTTTCAAAAAGGGCCTACCAATTTCAACCAGGAGGAAGCAATTAAGGCAGCAAACTCCAGTTCCTTCAGTGTATAGATACAGATTTCAGGCCCAAAAGAAATTTTAAGTTATAAGCAAGCAAAATCAAAGATGGGGGCAATAGTTACCAACTTTTGTGGGCTGAGCCTCCTGCCAAGCAAGTAACATGCTGGAGGAAATATAATACTTCATTCTCCCCATAAGCCTAATTTTTGCTTTTTAAATTCCTGCATCCTTGGGCAATATTGGAGAACAATCACAAGAAATGTGATACCTGAAAGCCACCGTTTGGGATCACTGGTTTGAAGTGAACTTTACACTGCAGGGTTTGTACAGAGCTAGATCTTTTGAGTCCCACCCTGGCCACAGCCAGCCACCGTGACTGTGTGATGGGCCACTTGTGTGCACAACAGCCCAGGTGTTGAGGAAATCTTCACGTACCACATCACTTGTTGCTGCAGCGACGGCATTCTTAATATTTCCATGAAATAACTTTGTTAGCTTCCTCCCACATTGCTCAGCATTACTCAAAAGCAAGAGTCATGAGGAAAGCCAGCACGTGTCTGAGCTACACAGGCTGTGAAACAAACTATGAAAAGGCGCTACAGAAAACATAGGTTCCTTCACAAAACAAGTTTCTCTTCAGCTCCAAAATCTCATCCACCAAAACATACACAGCTCCACAACGTACAATTCAATTGTATTTTAGGTACTGGAGGAAAAAGGTGTACGTATCGTGTGTAGTCAGCGTACCTGAGCTGGAATCTGAGTAACAGAAGAACTTCTTAATTGGTGTGTGTGACTGGGAGACAGCTTCACAGAACCTTTAAAATTAATTTCATATGAACCCCTCAAGACTGGCAGGATAATAGGCATGGCTGGAAGTGGACTTCTAATTTTCTGACTAGCTGCAGTGGAAGCAGAGGCAATTTTAAAATTTCCTGATAATGACAGAGGCTGAGAAATTATTCTTTACATTAACTCTGGTACATTGCTGTGTGTATTAATTTGCTGCTTGTGGCACAGAGCAGTTTTAGCTACTTCTAAATTTATACAAATATGTGCAATAAAAACACCATTACAGCCCAATTAAAGTGTCACAGCTATTAAAGCGTCCAGAAAATAAGATTGATAGATCTGTACGTGATTTCTTGTCCATTTGTGCTTTCTGGGATTGCCACGCTGATAAATACACCAACACCTATTGTGTTTGGGATCTATCCCTGCAGTTTGCTCAGCACCTCTCAGAAGATGCTTGGCAACTAATAGCCTCAGAGCCATGAATGGAGAATTGGTCCAGTGAAACAAATGCTACTGGGAAGTTTCTGCCTTTGCTTACCAATCTGGCATTCTTTTTCTAAAAAATGAAGATACAGAATTTTTACCTTGAAAGAGATACAGCTGAATGGCACTGTTTTTGAAAAAGATTGTAGGCTAGCTGCCTTGCTCCCGTAATTAATTGCAGATAGAAAGAGAGATGTGTAAGCATCAGCTCTTTAGGCACGGTCTAACAGCCAAGCAGCACAGTTTGCCTTTAATTTTATTTATAATCTAGACAAAGTCTTTTTAAACAGTTTGGTTTTTGAAACAGCAACTGCCTTCCACAGGAGTTTAGCACTTGCACATGTAAGGAAAGGAGGAGCCAGCCAGCAAGTAAGGTTTGCAGGCTCGAGTCCTTCATTCAAATGGCTACGTTCACAGGACTGCCTCAAATTCCCAGTCCTGACCACGTTTACTTCCAGTTATTCCTCATAGCCAGGGAAGTAGTTAAGTCACAAATGAAATTTACAGCCCGCTGCACATCCATGGTGACAGCGCTGCGGCGAACTGCATGAAAGATATCCCTGGCTGCTCCAGCAAATGCCCGCCCAAGGCACAGAAATGCTGCCTTTCAGAGAAGCTGCTGCACGGGGATATTTATTGCTGTATTTTACAAATATTTATACAAGATTTAGAAAATTCAATAAGGTGCAAAATTGCCCCTTTTAAGGTCCGCTGAAGGCAATGAGTGACAGTTTTCCTTAATAGAAAACATAAATCAGCTCTGAGCACCGCATAATGTAGGAGGCTCGGCATGAACACTTTGAATACATTTTCTACATCAATAGGAAGGTATGTCCATGGAACATCGCCTGTTCGGGGACCGCATGTTCCCTATACCTATTCTGATAATTTCAACAAAACTTGCAATACATCGGTATCGCCACAGTCTTGCTACAGAATATGATCAAGTCAACCTTGAAAAGGGAAGTCAAAATCCTACCACTGCTTAAGCCAAAAAAGGCAGGTTTAACTGAATTGGTTCAGTACTATGAAAGCCACTAAAAAAAAAAAAGAAGCTGGTTCTTAACGCTCACGAACACTAGAAAAAGATCTGGGGGTAGCTCTGACTACACTGATTTTTCACATTGCAGCATCTCTCCAGCAGTAATTGCGTTGGGGGGCAAGGGGGAGGGGAGCAAAAGGACCCTGTACAAAAGTGCTGGCTGGGTTGTTTGGAAACTAAGAGGAAGACCCAATAAATAGTACGTTTAGAATAAAAAGGAAATAGCATAAAGTTATTTATTTCATCACAAAAGTACACTACCCAAATATTTCCAGGCAGTCACTGCCACTATGAAGAGGAAGCTGCTTTCCTCCCTTTTGTTTACAAAAAAACCAAACAAACAACAAACTACAATACTATACATAAAGCATATATAAAGGCAGTTTTTTCAGAACAGCCACTATGGTAAAAGTGGACGAAAAGTATTTTGTGTTTGGCAGCAGTCTCATGTGTGGTATAGTTGACTTCAGCAAGACTAACGTAAGCAGACAGAGAACGTGCCTTTATTTTAAGAAGATCTAAATAATGGAAGCTTAGACAAGAACAGGCAATCGCATCTCTGCTGCTAGGTATAAGCTAACCACTACAAGTCACAGGCAGAATCCTGTGGGAGGTTTTTGCCTTCCTCTGAAGCATAGCTGTAAAGGCTACTGCCAAAGGCACAGTATCAGAAGTGGTCTTGGTTGGGTACAATGACTTCTACTGTTGATACGGTAACTACAGAAAAACAAAACATACCTTTCCTTGACCTGAAAAAGGATAGATTCATTCAGACATGCAGAAAATTCTGATCAGAAAGAAACATATGCTCCTTTCTGAAATGTTATGCAAGACCTTCAGACAAAACAGAAGCAATTAGGTGAGGTTTCAGCACACTGCCAAAGCAAACCACGCTGAACAGAAAGCAAACAACGACCTGCCGGTGCACACATACAGCACAAATGAGATAGCTAGAAAAATCAGAACTAAACCAACCCCTCATCTTCATAAAGGTACTTGACAGTTCCCCAGAGGATAACAAACAGCATTGGCACACCTGGGAAGAGAGGAGACAAGGTTGACACTGACATTAAGAGACAGGGAAAAGCAGAGAAAAGGACAAACCCCCCCACATAATGATAAGCATCTTAATTAACTGGTGGCAGAGTTACAGCTCCTACCCAGCACAGATGCCTGTCAATGGTGGCAGGAGGAATCTAACCTGCTGGTAACTAATACATGTAACTCATTTTGCCCACTAGCTCCTAAAAGGCACGAAAAATGAACAACAGACCGTCACCCCCATACTTGGAATATACAAGCTCTTCTGTGGGAATTTGCACAGAGGGGCCAAAGGAACAAAATTTCTGGAAGCTCTGCCAGCCTCTGAATTCATGCTAGAGAGGAGCGCAGCGTACTCTGACCCAAACCTTTGTGTCCACATTTCTGCCTGTGGGTCAGCTACGTTGTATTCAGGCAGCACCAAGCTCAGGATGTCCATTGGCATCGGGGCTGGAGCACACTCAGCCCCACGCGCACCCGATGGCAAAGGGGAGCGCGGGCACGCGACACACAGCCAGTGTGCTTGGGCCTCCCCCACAGAGAAATCCCAAGTTTGGGCTGTGGTACTGGCATGGACTTGAGTGGCTGCAAAGGCAGAAGATACATCTGGTCTTGAGAAGAGGCTTGGTCCTACGCTTACCTGACAGCGCATGTGCTATGGTTGGTCAGTTTATCTGGGGTATAAGGGGAAGAGAGAAAAGCCAGATAAGCTAGCGGTTTTCACTTGCTTTACAATGTTGAAGGCCCGCAAGTTAATTTCTTTCATTTATGAAATACCTAGGTCTTGAAAAATAATTTTGAAGTGCATCTACCAACCAATACTCAGCACAGGGAATGCCAAAAAAGCCCCTAAGGAATGAGAGCGAGCCGAGACTCAACGAGCGGGATGAGGAACTTCTGCCTAAGGATGGATCAAGATGGTCTAATTCCTCTGTGTACCTCCTTGGACAGTGTCCAATGCTCTGTGTAAATTGTATAGGAAGGATAACGTTCAACGTGCTTTGTTATTGCATTCTTAAGAACCAATCTGGTAGGGGACCATAAGAACATCAGCGTGCAGCAGTAAGCACTGCACAGGGCAAACACACAGAAGCCACAGGGAAATCACTCCTCTCTCGCAGTCTGGTAATCTACAAGCAGTATCTGTAGTGTGTATTATCAGTAAAAACCTTCTTGTACTGTATTCTTTCTCTACTATTAGAACAGCTAATTACTATAGACATGAAAGACCAATTATTCTCCTTAATCAGTTAAAAAAAAAAGAGAATAATGAGCAGCAAGGAAAAAAATACCAATAATTAGAATAACAACAAAGATAGTGAATTGACTAGAGATTATTGGGGCAAGCGGTTGAAAATGTTCCATGGATGTACCTGATACTGAGAGCACAGCACACATATTTTGGGAACAAAGTTACTGAGAACTCTGTGCTGCTTCAATAGTGGCATAAGAGATTGAGAACAGGCTCATTGCAAATCACTTCCAAACACAAATGAGCCTTTGATTCATAGAAACTAATTATAGTTTGAATTATTCCTTTCTTGACTCTGCTGAGAATTAAGACCTCTTAATATGAAACTTACAGGATAAGGCATGAACACTGAGAGCACAAAGGCTGTATGTCAGTGGAGGGAGCTGATATATCAAGTGATAACAATAAAGATTTGTAGATATCTTCATCTTCTGGATGCATCAGAAAACTCTCCATATTTAGTCACGTTACTTGACATTTGAATTGAGAATCTATTATTAATATTGTATTCCAAAAAGATTGGTATTATTGAACTGCATCAGTACCCTCCCATACAAATATTATACACATTAATAGGCAGCAATGTACAAGGCGACTTGTTCAACATCCCTGTCCACTCCCGCTTGTGATACAGGCCCCTGGTGCCTCGGTGTTGCAACACCATCAGTCACATTTTCCATATTAGTAATACACATTTTAAATCGGAGACACCAAGACTTTAGCAATGCAATACATTCACGTAAGCTTTGAACACCAGTGCAATTCTACATGGATACCATCTGACATCTACCGAACTCACGAAGTCATGTCCTAAGAAATGGGTGGCTCTGAAAACTGTCTGGGACACAATCTCAGCAGATAGGAACGCACACCTCTTTTCATAGCCCTAGGCAAGATCTAAAAAATATCTGCCCCGAGCACATTCCCTAATCCACCTCAAGTCTGTAGAAGTCATTCACAACAGCAAAAGAGCAAGTCTGCAGCATCCCTGCAATAATTGCAGTTTGCAAGGATCACTGAGGCTTTCCATAGATTTAATTTACAATCTTGATACCTAATTAACCTGCATTAACTGACACAAACGCAAATATTGTTCTCGTTACTTCACTCAGTCAAGAGAAATTTGGCTGGCTTGAGCAGGCAGCGGAAGCTAACCGTATACAGCTCCTTGAATAAGCTCTACAGATGACTATCATTCATTAACAGAATCAGTGTTGTGTTCCAGTCCTGGGCTCACAACATGCAGCTCTTGGTGCATTTGAGTTTCAGTCCTACGCCTCTTTCTCTTGCTGCTGCTATTCAAAAAATATCAGATATCTGAGAAAAAACCTGCATGCATTTATAGGATGCACTTAAGATATAGGCTGAACTCTTTCTGGTTTTGCTTTCTATCATACAGAAAGCTTCAAAATTGATCTCTTCCCAGATTAACTGACTACAGAAAGGTCTCTGAATTCTGGAAATGGTAACATCTACTTTTGTCTGTACCGCATCACTGCTGAAGATGACAAACTGCAACAGCTTGCTCATAATAGCCTCTGCTATGTTAATTCTTGCCGGCTGATAACTGACTAAAAATCTTTGAACGCTACATGGTGATTATGAAATCCATCAAGTGTACTAGGAAATAAGCATGCCAACAGCTCGGCTAATAAAGTTCAACCCTAAATGACAGGGGTCAGGGCTGAATTATAGGCTGTGATAATATATATTACAGATGATGAGAAAGTAATAGAACTGCCGAATTGACATCTTAACACCCCACTGCATAAATAAGTAGCACAAACCTACTTATTTCCACTCTAGCTTACATATTCTACACCTGGCCAGGTGTCTGCATAGTAAGAAAACAAAAGTTGGAAAACTAGGCATTATCCAGAATGGTAATAGTATGGGGTAGGTAAGAGAAGAAAGCTGTGAGAAATGCTGCACAGGAACCAATGTTTGGTTGACATTTCCACCTCCACTGTCCCTAATGAGCAGAGAGGAAAGCGATTTGTGGAGCTGCTAAAGGAAGTTACCATTTCCCAATAACAGCATGGGGAAATCAAGTCTCTTCATATAATGGGTCTGAGATATTTTGGTAATGGAACAGAAAAGCTCGGGCTTGTTCTGGAGTCCGCCAAGCAGCAGCTACCATGAAAGGTGTCACCAGGTGGTGCTATTCCATGCCATCTTCTTTCCCTTACCTTGATGTGCAAAAGCCAGTTTTCTTTCTTACAGACACAGGGTATTTCCAGCCTTGCATTGTACTGCATTTTTCATAAAGGCAATTTCAGGGAAGAAGGATGTATGAGGAGCAAGAGAGGCTCCTCTCATCCTCACGTGCTGACTAGACATTCTTCCTAAAGCAAATTTGCCTCTGTAGGACCAGAGCACTGCCATCCTGACAAAATCCTTAAATAAAGACATATTCTGAATAAAGCATTTTAGGACTGATGAGTTTGTACAAGCTCATATTTCAGATGTAACCTGGCATCACTGGTTTCCACGTGGTGAGAAGTTCAACCTCCAAGACAATTAGGCACACAAGCAAGGAGGACACTACTGCTATCAGAACTCCAGTCCTCGTCTTCCTCTCAGAAACCATCCAGGACAGTCTGACTTGATCAACTGTTTGACACATGAATGCAAGAATTATGTGAAGAAGAACTGAAAGAAGTGATAAAGACGATTAGATGTAGAAAGAGTAAGAACATTGAAGATATGAGAAGGAAAGACGAAATGTTTTTCTTTCTAAGAAAAGCAAAGCATGAGAGAGTTTAATCCAGAAGACAAAGAGTAAAGAGAATTAAGAAAAACTCCTGACAGATGCATTTCCTACCAAGATCAGTCTGGATACAAAACCTATTTTCACATCCTTGTCTGAAACACAGTTTTCATTTGAAAACAAACAAGAAGTGGTTAGTGCAATGAACATACCCTGTTGCTACACTGAGTTCATACTGGGTTTCAGATGGAAGGTTTCTTACCGGCTGTTCCAGTCAGATCTTCCTAGCAATCAGGATGTAGATTTTGACACTCTAGCCAGGCTTCCTGCCTTTTAATAGCTTCATTCCCTCAAAGTATTCTTCCTTAGAGCAAGTTTGGATTGCCAAGGCTTGGAAGACAAGGGATTATTTCTTTTTTATGGCAGTTTACCTGCTGCAAGTGCAGCTGGGTGTAAAATTGCCACAGAAGCTCAGAAAACGTTGAGCTTATTAACATTTTCTTCTTAGCCTTTAGTGCTGAAAATTGTCTCCTGTCATTCTTCCTGCCTGGGTGTTGCACACAGTCACTGTAGGATGTTGCTCTTGTTTCCCCATTGCTCCCTCCACTTCTGAATGTGAACACATCCTTTTTCCACTAAAAGCTGCTGAAAGGTGCATGCAGCAGCGTTACTGTATAAACTGCTCTTCGCTGGAGACTACTTTGTACAGCACTGACACAGCTGCGTGGAGTCAATGTTAACATTGACTTAATGTTAAGCCCAGTGTCTCTTCACCCGAGCTCAGACACCATGAACACTGAGTTGGTGTCCTGGACACCACGATTAAGAGCAGTCTGCACATCCCGAGAAGCAAACAAAACAAAGCAAAAAAGTGATCATCTCGATCTCCGCAGCTACGTTGCTTTCTTCCCCCCCTTCCTCTGCAAATGTTCCGTTCTCTCTAGAAGGCGAGATCTTGGACAAGGATTTCTCTTCTGCCAGAGGAACGAAGCACCAAGGTACCAGCAACATTTTTTGGGGTTTGTTT